GGCCGCACCGCGCTCTGAGCGCACTGGCCATCCCTATATAGGATCTGAACCCGCGGCGGGAGCGCTACTGCGCTCCCAGCGCCACACTCTCCCGAGTGCGCCACGGGCTCGGCCCAGCCATTGTTAATTTAAATGTTGGTACTTACTTCTGAGTGAGTGATGTGGATCCTTGTCCTTGGGAACTTTTTTCCAACGTGCTGTGAAGTGACCAGCATCAATAGTCAGTACAAACAGCATTTGCCTGGTGCATGGCTTTAACTCCAGTTTATAAGAGGCAAGGCCGTCGTGGTATGAAGTGTTTGAGTAAGATGAATTGGTATCCCCAGGATCCCATGGGAAACCCTAATTCCCTTTGTTTTCTCTGTTCTCTACCCCGGACCAGATGCGTGTGATTTGAGTAGAGTGTGCTCTGCCCAGACAGGGATGGTGAGAAGGAGCCTGAGAACGCGCTGCTGCAAGAGACAGGAGTGGGGCGCGGCTGCCACTGGCTTTCCACAGGGGACCCTGTCTCCCTTTCGCTCACATCCTTGCCCTCATAGTTGGTGCTGGTCAGTGGACTGCACGGGTTGTGTCTGCACAGCTGGGAGTAGAGATGTTATGTCATTTTCAGAGTGAGGAAAACAAACTCAGGATTCGGAAATGGGTCTAGGTCATGTCTGGTGTTGGAGCCAGGGCTTGAACTTGGGTCCTTGTTGCCAGGGCCTTGCCTCTGCATGGTAAGTAACATGTGGTTTAGTGTGGGCTTTGCTACCCTTCCTTAGGAGGGAAAATGGTTTTGAAGCTAAAATTTAAATAGAAATAAAATTGACCATTTCAATCAGATAGGGTATATGCGTCAAATTGAAACAGGTTCAATGTGATGACTCTCACCTATCTGAATTGCCTTGGTACCTTCCCCCCCCCCCAAAAAAAAAAAAAATACATTACATTTCTGGGCCAGAGCATGCTTCCCATTCCAGTTCCTAAAACATCTTAATACAAGCAATTTATAGAAGACTTAATGAGTAATCTGAGACTTTTTTAAGAAGCCAGCTTAAGCAGAAGGAATCTTCTGTTCTCTTAGGAAGGGGTGGGTGTGAGGTGTGTGAGGTGAGCCAAGCCTGACAGTCTTACTTGTTGAGTGAGTTACTTTTCTGTAGAATAAGTGTTCTAGAGAAAGGACTAAAAGAAGATTTCTTTTCTTGTTGATTTGTCAGTGTTTTGGTCCCTTGAGAAATTTCTTAACATAAAGTAGTCTAGATATGAATTCTGGATAAATACGATGTTAATGTATATGTGAATTTAAACCTTAGTGTATTTGTACTTGAGCCTCAATTCTGCTAAATAAGTCAGAACAACTCACTAACTTAAGAAAAAGGTTTGATACATAGTATGCATGCAAAAATACTTAAAGAAATTCCAAGTGATATTTAATGCAGTGTATGAGAGCCAGCAGTTCCTTCTCTTTTTTTTTTTTTTGTCTTTTGTCTTTTTCCGTGTCCGGCAATGGATCGCAACCCTCAGTGTTGCCCCCGCACCGGACCGGGACCGGCAACGGGATCGCAACCCTAGGTGTTGCTCCCGCGCCTCGCTCAGCCAGTGAGTGGGAACCGGTCTGTATGTGGGATCCGAACCCTCGGCGGGAGTGCCGCAGCGCTTCCCAAGCGGCGCACTGTAGCAGTGCGCCACCGGGCCGGCCCTTTTTTTTTTTTGTTCCTTCTCTTTTATTACCTGGATCTTACCAGTGTGCTCATTTGAAACTGAGAACTCTTTTCTCTGTAAAGAAAGCCTAGCATAGACAATCTGCTGTGCTAACGAATTTTGTGTTCTCTCTCCGTTCCTCCTTTCTGATAGTATGGTATGAAGTATTGGAATGGAAAATTCCAACAGGTGACCCTGGCCAGTCTTGGTCCTTCCGCTGACATGTTACAGCCCTGGGGCAAGTTCCTCAGTCTGGCTGGAGACTAGCATCCTCGTCCTCACCTGAAATATGAGGGTGTTGTGACTATTCAGAAGTGGTCAGAGCACTGTAGGGGCTTGGGGACAGGGAAGGGAGCTTGCATCGAGTTAAAACAACTCCAGTTTAATCTGTATTACATGGTGGGTTCTTAAGCACAGGGACAACCAAGCCATTTCGCCTAGTGTGCAAACTTATTAGGGAGCAGAGCTGGGTCGGCAGCCATGTCCACCTTGCTGGAGTCAGGGGTGTGGAGAGGAGGAGGAAGAGGAGGAAGAATGTGTGACCCTGAACAGGTAAAAGACCTTCAAAACCACCAGACCAGTCTTTCAGTACAGAATTCCATACACCTTAAACTTGGACTTGCACTTGATGGTGACCCTAACTTCCGTTCTTTTCTTTCTATTACAAAAGAAGTCATCTGTACGGAGGCACATGGCACAGTTGATTATATACCATTTCTATGGTTTACAGACTAGGCTTTTGGATCGTCCCCCGGGATTGTCCACTGCACACAGGGTCAGTGTGTGCTTTAGCATGGGCTGGGTGGTGAGTGAAAAGATTTGGGCTCGAACCGCCTTTTCAATTGGCCATTCCATTATACCTTGCAGATTCTCTGCCAGCTGTAACCTCTCAGTTTTCCTATTTTTAAAGCATGATATAGTTCTTATAACTTTTTTTTTTTTTTTTTAGTCACCAGGCTTGTGTCCCTTAGTGGTGGGACATCTGCTTACAGCATAAATGTGCGTAATGTGCTTACTCAAGACACACAACCTTTTTTGGTTTTCTGGGGAGGAGTCACACGGCCCAGCTGGGGCAGACATATGTTTTAAGGACAAATATTTAAACCACTAAATATCTAAACACGATGATCACATATTTGTGATTATGCAAAATAGTGTCTGGAATTGAGGAGAGAAGTTTGTTTTTCTTTTTACACAAAATGGGATAAAAAGAGGCAGCTGCCTCTTATGAATTTGTTTTAAGCGGGAATCTTTCATTATGTCTCATCCTTGCCATGTGTTACTGGTAACCACATATTCGTGTTAAATTATTCCTTCACTACGTATCTAGCCATTATAAACTTTAACTGTGCAAATAAAATTGATAGGCTTTTTTCTATATTTTGTTTTCAAAACTGTTTAAGGTGTACCTTTTTAGGCTTCTGTTTCTGCTCTTGTTTTTGATGCATGTCTTGGTCTTTACTAGCATTGGGATGAAAACACAGTAATGTTTGAAACCTTAATGTGAATTTAGGAGAAAAGATGTTTGTCACCTGTTTCCTGCTGCTGGTGTTAAATTTCATAGAGGAAGCCACACTTACTCTGTAGTCAGAAATTTTTATATTTTAGTTTAAAGTCTCATTCCCCACACCCACCCCACCGATCTGATTTTGGCTAGAAACAATTTACAGTTACTGAAAGCTTGTAACTTCAGATTTTTAATCACTGTTTCTAAGGAATGGTCTTAAGTGAATTAATGTGTATAGAGTTATGTATATTTACTTTTAAAAGGTTTCTAAAAGGCACTTCTATTTTTATAGTTTGGATGGAGTAAATGGTGAACTAAATGGTCTGGATAAGAAGTTGCTTACACTGTCAGTAGAAGGGAAGTGGGGTTTATATCATTGTCCTAAAGCAAGTTCAGGGTTAGTCTTCATTTAGCTTTACTTAGTCACTTAGTTTTGAGGTTCTTTTTGTTTTTCAAAATAAGATGGCACAGTCAGATCTCCTCAGTCCTCTATAAGTAATCTAACCCTAGAGAAGTAGAGATGGAGTAGTCCTAGAAACTTAGTGGGATGAGCATCAGTGCAGAGAAATCGAGGCATGGAAGTGTAGTGTCCTGTATCCTGCCCCGGCCAGACTGAGTACAGGATGCCACCACCTACTGTTCAGAGCAGCAATGTCATGAGCACATGTGGGGTGACCAGGATGACAGATGTTGGAAGGGCTTCCCAGGACACGTCATGGAGGCACATGGAAGGAACTGGTTCAGGACCAGGTTTGGGGCACATGGTGGCAGCTTCACTGATTAAAAAGAGGGGTGATGATGGAGAGAGATTATCAGTTGTCTTTGTATAGCTTCAGGGGGCAGAAGTAAGACTGGACTCTGGGTTAGAAGGGAACATTTCAGTTTCCTATGAGGAAGAACTTTGGTAGCACTCAGTGCCTGGGGAAGTGTGCACCTGCCTGGGAAGAGGGCACACAGGCCAGGAGAGTGGAATCCTGTCTCAGAGGGCTCTTGCCCAGGTCTGCCACTGGGCATGAGGTGCTGGGTTTCTGCTGTGACTGAGGTAGTTAGGAATGTTCTTGGACTTGGCATCACAACTCGGGGTCGGGTTTGCTCTTGGCATGTCCCCAGCTTCTAGTAAATATGTTAATATGTACATGGGGACAGCTTAGGAGAGATAAGAAATGAGTAAAACAATATAGCACATTAATCTTAATTCCTTTAGGTTTGTACTTTGTTATAAGAAACAGATAATGGTGAAAGGGGAAAAACCTCATGAATGCTGCTTTCCAGACATGTCCAACTTCACAGCCTTGGTTTACTGGCAGTTTCCAAATTGTCAGAATGGAAATTGATGAAAGCAGCTTGCTTTGACCTTCTGACTTGCAGCCACATAAAGGCAGTGGGCAGTACACACTGAAAGACTTAAGTATAAAAACACCAGCTTCATCTCATAAACTTTATTATTGGTGGCATTTTATCCTAGCAGCAGCTGGTTTTTAAAGCACTGTCTTGAATTCAAGTGACTGCCCAGATTTGACACAAATGTGTACCAGCGAAAAGCAGATTGAGGAAACTTTGAGTACCAGTGCTAAATCTTATCATTTTGTATTTTATTTCTGATAGCTTTCATTTTCATCCAATGAATGGCTCACGGGAATTGGCAGAGGATTCATCAAAAAGTAAAGTGATGCAAGTGAAAAGCAGACCCGGGTCGGGGGAGGGAGAGAGAGAGAGAGAGAGAGAGAGAGAGAGAGAGAGAGAGAGAGAGAGAGAGTGTGTGTGTGTGTGTGTGTGTGTGTGATTTCAAACAGGTGGTTATGATGGCATTTACTGCAGCAAAACTTCCTGAACTGGCGGCTGCTGTCCTTTGCCTGATGGCCAACTGGAGATGGAGGCAGCCCGATCACTCAGGTGGGTTTCATAAGGAAACCTTAGCGGGCTGGCTGGTTGCATCCTTCCTCTTGTAAGCTGCGGTAACTCTGAATTGAGAAAGGTATTTGTGAAGATATTGAAGTAAAGAGACTATTGAGTTGAATAAACATCTTGGAATTTCTATTTCTTCAAATGAATGTCGAACTTCTAAGTGGCCACCTGCAGAGATACTTTCTCCTCTAAATGTTTTTGGAGCATCTTTTGGAATTGGTTTAAAGCTGGTTTTTGAGTCCACAAGGAAGTGGTCCTTTACAGGTCCTTCCTGGCCTCTGGTGGTTAAATAAGAATCTCCTCGGAATAAAGATGGACAACTCTGAGACATCTGAAGGAGAGGCCTCGCAGTCCCTGGCACATCATAAGTGCTGGACAACGTGTGCACTTATTGACTAAGTGTGTCTAAATGTGTTTAAAATAAACACATTTCTTCAGAGTCATACATTCCATGTCTCTTTGGGGACCAAGAAATCCTTTCTCAGTTTGTAGCTGAATATGGATTCAGAGCTTAATCCCTGTTGATTACTTTAAAATCTGATCTTCATTCTACCCAAGTATTTGTGGGTTGCTCAACAACATCTGAAGACAGCTCATAGGGAGGTTTTGTAACTTGGAGGAATTTTAACTTGGTTTCTGGTGCTGCACTTGAAGCTCCAGTAATGAGAAGGTGGGAACTAAAACAGTAGCTGCCCCATGGAAGTGAGGCTTGCGCCAACCCTGTTCCCAGGTTGCGGTTGTAGTCTGGATGCCTGTGTGTGACATGCCTCCCCCCAGCATGCGAGCTCATGTCATTAGATGTCACTGCACAGCACTGTCATAGAGCAAGAACTACTGGGTTTAGAAAGAGGCCATGAATGTCACAATGTGACTTCAGTTCCTTTGAACACCTGCCATTTGAAACTGGAGTAGAAGATTTTGGATGTTCAAGAGAAATCAGAAGGTTTAGCGTGACTGATGTTGAGCTCATTATGAATTGACAATCTCGTTTTTTTATTTTCCTGCCTCAGCTGGTGGCGCTTCAGAAAGTCCTTTCCGAAAACCCCAGCCTGATTTCACTACCAACCACTTAACCACGGTATTAATTTTTTCAACTGCTGAGCTTTTGAGATTTTTAAATTACCTTATAAGTTGGAAAAGAGTTCTGTTGCTGAACCAGAACAGTTTGTTAATTAAGTAACATGCATCTTTGAGTAACTGAAGATTTTTGGCCTTTAAAAATTCCCTTCCCTCCTCAGCCCCACCTGTGGAGAAAAATGGGTTAATTATATGTCATGGTATTTTTCCATAGTCAATAATATTACCAGTAAATTCTGGACTTCAAAAGTTATTTCTATGAGTTTTGATGAAAATTCAGCTGGCATATTACACTTCTGACAACACTGCCTGTGTCTGACACATTCCGTTGTAAAAGTTTTCATTAGAGGCTTTTGTTATGAGTAAGAAAGAAAACATGGAGCTAGGAAGTCCCCTCCGGCGCAGTCTGGTATTTTCAGGATTGAAGCTTTGGAGCAGGATTAGTTTATATTTCACTGGTTTTCGTTTTTTTTTTTTTTAAGTTTTAGTGCCAGGTTTATGGAGTGAAGTGCTTTCTTAAATGCTGAAACTACATTTTCTGTGGGTAAAAGTTTCCATCAGAAGTTTGCATCAGAAGCATCAGAATTTCCCTTTTGGAGAATGTTTTACGTTCACATAAAATTGCCTTCTAGGTTAAAAATGTGTTCTTCCTACTTAGTAATAAGAGCTTTTGTTTAAAATAAAGAGCTGTTTTATTGACCAGGTATCAACATTTATGGTTGTCAGGCACATTGCAGATAGCAAAATAAAATATTTATGCTTGATACTTATCTTTCTTAGAGACTAGAAATGTCAACGTGCCTATCTTTTTGATAGGTTGACTATGTTAGAATGGGAGTAATTGGGTTGAGTACCCAAGTAGGATTACAGGGGTGAGGGTGCAACATCGTGCTTTTCGAGCATTCCGTGTCCTGAACCCCGTGGGTTGCAGGCACATCTTTGGAAGACCATACCCGTGGATCCCTTTGTCATTGTGGTGGTTCATGCTCTGGGACAGAATTAAGCAAACTCATTCAAAAGGTAATAAAACTCTTAATGCTGGGGCTGACAGGCTGATGCTCTAAGTTGGTCAGCCAGACCCTGATCATTTGTTCTGGTAGGTTCTCATGTGGTATGAGACCAAATACAACAATCACTAGCATTAAACTAGTGGTGAAGTTGAGGAAGAGCTCCCCCCACTCCCCAAGAAGATATTTTGTCATTTGAGAATAATCTTTGAAATTTGTGTTAAATAATGCGCAGTATTCACAAATTAAAACTACCCTTTTAAGATTTAGGAATAAGAAGCCTTTTAAAATATTCAAGACAGAGTTTTTGTCATATAATCTTACTTTATAACCATATACTACTTTGTACATAATGGCTAGGTCTTCTCGCAGGATGAACATTGGCCATTAATTTTAGGTTTATAGATTCAAGGAATAAGAACAGTATTTGCTTCTCAAAAAACAAACTGTCCTTTAAAAAACAAATAGCCATAGGTGCTGTCTTAGAGTAGCTCAGACAGATCAGATTCCTTTGCACAATGTAATTTATAGTGTATACTTCTTTAATAACTTTTTAAAACTACACCTAAGTGCAGGTGATAGCTTGCTTACTAATCCATAGCTATTGCCAGTTACAGTGTATGCTGAGCCTGGTCCAAACCATTATCTTTGGTTAATACAAATGTCCTAACTCTTAAATGTTCTCTGAAGACACACATCAGGGCTCCAGGGCATCTCCAAGGTTTCATGCCTTTGGGGTAGTATTTCTCAGGGTCTGGTCTATGAATTGTTTGCAGCAGAATTGCTTAGGGACTGGTAAGAGTGCAGCCTCATCATGTCTCACAGCCAGTCCTTGTGGGTATGTTTATACTTATGTATTTATTTAAGCTCATTAACAGCTACTGAACTTTTTTTTCCATAGGAGAAACAAGCCATCCCCTTATTTCCTTCTGCAAAAAGCAGCAGTGCATTTATCTGTTAAGATGAACGAGTTGAATTTGGCCAAGGAAGGTTCCATATTTCCCTCTTTGCTGCTGGCTAGGTGGATGTGTTCACTGGGTGTAGGTTTTGATAAGCTGACCTCTGACAAGAACTGGCTCCTTTGATGCCAGCCCAAGCATGAGCCCAGCAGAACCTTCTAAACCACAGACAGAAGTAAAGGGTGTCACATAAAATTGAGTAGGCCTCATGTACAGATTGGGGGAAATTAATGGAGGGAGTTATTTGTGTTTTGTGGTGTAGGAAATATAAAGTATATTTATTTATAGGTATCCTTGTCCAGAAGAAACTTAGCAGTTAGTTGGAATTAAGCATTTAATCCACAAGAATGTAAGCTCTGTGGGAGTAGGGCTTGGCCTCCTTTGTGACTGTACGCAGAGCACCTCCTAGGACAGCATCTGGCACATGGGCATTCATGTTTGTTGAGTAAATTAGTGAGTATCTAGATTTATGAAACATTGTTTAACTTGGCCAAAAATTTTTACCAGTCTACGAACTTTATAAAACATGCGATCTATATTTCACAGATTTTCTTTTGCTAATTGGCGTTGTCTTCATTTCAGACTCCAGGGTTGAAGGCAATTTTCTATCTCAGCCATGTATAGGGAGGAACGAGTGGGGCTGTGAAGCCCAGGAGAGGTGGGTGATGGAGGCCTGTAAGTGGCCAAGTGGTGTCCTGCTCACTGGACACTCACCTGTATGGTCCTGCGCCACGTAACTGTGTTTTGGTCAGTGATGGACCATGTATACTACAGTGGTCCCGTGAGATTATAATACTGTACCTTTTCTCTGTTTACGTGTACAGATACCATCGTGTTACGGTTTCCTACAGTATTCAGTACAGTAACATGCTGTACAGGTTTGTAGCCTAGGAGCAACGGGCTATATCATATAGCCTAGGTGTGTAGCGGGCTATGCCATCTAGGTTTGTGTAAGCACACTCGTATGTTTGCACAGTGATGAAGTCACCTAATGACGCATTTCTCAGAACATGTGCCCTGTTGGTAAGCGACATGTGACTGCAGTACATGGGTAGGTGCATCTCCTGCAGGGCCTTTAGGAAGACTGCATGAAGTCCTTGTTTAGTAGGGTCTAGAACAAAAAATGCCTTCCTTCCCTTTAAGGGTGAGCTAACTTTTTCAAAGCTTCTATGTCAGGGAAAGAACGCTTGATTGCTGATAACATGGAGAGAAGTGTGACGATGGCGCACCTGTGATAGAGTAGATCCTTAAACAGCTGTGAGCCCAGAAAGAGGAAACAAGGTGTTTCGTCGTCATCACCTGGCATCATGTCTACCCTGAAATTTTGTTTTCTGCCAGTTTAGTCATTTAAAATGTAAGTTTAGTAGACTTTTACAGATTAACGTTAGAAATATTCTTGTGACAAAGGTGCAGCCAACGTAACTTTTTATATGATTGGATGTTTATTCAGGGGCCATGCCTAACTTATCCTAGAAGTTTCCCCCTCATCAAGCCCTCATGCTCTCCACCAGAGCCTCCTTTAGCAGGTGTTCCCTCAGGCTTCCACACAGAGCACAGTTAACTCTGGAGGGGATCTGCGTGTACACCCCCTGCACCTACACGCGGGGCTTGTGTGACACCCTGTCTCTCTCAGGCCCTCAGTCTTTGTGCCATCATTGTTAAATTCACTTGGGTGGGGACATAGAAATGGGGCGGGAGTTTTAAACAGAATAGACAAAAACTCTTCTTTTAAGTGCTTTTATAGAGCTGTGTATCAATATCAGTTTTACTCACCTTTCACAAAAACACAAAACAGGAAGCTATGTTCATGTTATTGTGAAATCTGATTATCGTAGGTTTTTGCATATTTTGCTGTGGTTAAAGCATAACACGTGTTTAATTGCCAGTAGAGGTGCCCCTTTTCACAGCGAGTTAACCTGAGTTGCATGTGAGCAGCAGTTGAATTCTCGGTTTTATCCCTTTTCCTGTCTCCATGTTGCTGAAGTGTTTGCCTCTGAGGGTAATTCTTTTCCTTGTGTGTGGAGAATATTATCTTCCTGATGCATGAGGGGATCTTTTGATGGCTCACATTTTTGTTCTCCTTCATTTTTGGCTATCACATGGCTTTAATGGTTTCATTGGCAAAGGGATGAATGTATGGGGTGTGAGTGTTAGTGACAGCTTAATGAAAGGGCGAGCCTCCCTCTCTTTTCTCCTTTCAAAAAAGCCTTTGCTCTTAGACCCAAAACATTTCCTCTCCCCGTGTGGCGTTTGCAGACTTGAACCCATCTTTATTGGCTGCATTAATATTGAGGCAAAACATGCAATTATGCTTTCATCTGGCATTGCGGTAGCACTTCTGAACACTGGCTGTTTGTAAACCAGTTCATTCAGGTTTCTCAGGTTTTAACTTATTTTACTTTGAATGGGACAACCATTTCATCTCCCATTCCTAGGTGATGTTTGAAATTTTCCTAGGAATTTTTACCTTGTAATAAGATCAACATGGTTATTTTACTGACTAACTGATTATGTTCTAATATGTTTCAAGTGTATTTCTGTGGCAGTATTTATGTACCATTTTTTGTGAGTGGCTTCTGGAAATGGAAGTGTACATGCATGGGTCGGGATGTTTTTAATTCTGGCAATTCTGAATCTCCACTTTTGAAAAAGGAAATTAGTCTATGTATTAGTCCATTTGTGTTGCTTATAACAGAATACATGGAACTGGGTGATTTATAAAGAAAATGGAATTAATTGCTTACAGTTTCTGAGTCTGAGAAGTCCAAAGTCCATCTAGTGGTGGTGACAGTGACCCAGGGGTCTCACGTTGCAAGATGTTGGAAGCAGAGAGAGCAGAGAGAAAGAGAGAGATTCTGCTCTTCTCTTAAAGCCCTCAGAACCACACCGCTGACCACCATTTTTAATCCATTCACTACTACAGGGTCCTATAGTCTAATCACCTCTTCAAGGCTCCACCTTTCAGTTACCAGAATGGGATTTCCCACCCTCTTAACAGTCACAGTGGGGGCTAAGTTTCTAATACATAAAACTCAGGGGATATGATTCAAGCTTCAGGGAGTTTTCGGGGGACATAATTCAATACACTACACTCTATATCCTTTATTCTTTAATCAGGTCATGTAGCAGACCCTGCCAGTGTAATCATTAGTACATGATCATAATTCCTGAAGTCCAGGAACTTCCAGAAACATGAGCGGGTGAGATGGGCTAGCTTTTAGAAACTTAACTTTGGGACTTTCTCAGTGATCCATGGACCACAATGTGATTTTTCTTTTTTCTGTTCCTGTGCAGCTTCCATGCGGCAATCTCAGGCTGAACCTGCAGATGTGCGCCCGGAGATATGGATTGCGCAAGAGTTGCGGCGTATTGGAGACGAGTTTAATGCATATTATCCAAGGAGGGTAATGATGTCTTCTTTACCCCTTTCTCCTCACACCCTCCCCCTTTCCAACATATTAAAAGAAAAAGGAAAAGTGACTCGCAACACTACTTGCTACTTCTGGGAATGAAAGGTATTGCCCACGTGGGACCCGCCATTACGTCTCCTTTCCTGTTTTCCATCTGCTTCATGGCTGACTTTAAGTGGTGGCAGTTAAATAAAATACAGTACGAGGAGGCAAATTTTATGAGCACAGACCTTCAAACATCAATCAGTGTTCAAAAAGGGAATATTTATAGGGTTTGGAATGTTCACACCTAGATATTATTAACATAGTTTTCAATCCATATAGGGTGTGGCTGTATTCCCTTTAGGCAATTTGGGTCAAAGTTAAAGAAATTTTGAAATTGTCACCATCACTCAGAGGGCACAGTACCAATACTAACCTGCAAGCCCTCCTGCAATCTGTGGGCCACCCAAATCAGAACAAGGGCCATTACCCTCTCAGCCTCTGTTGCGTCCTTAGACATTTATTTATTGAAATGTATTAGGAGGCCATTAATTGATAGCCTGTAATTTGGGGTGTAAAAACTTTAATTAAGAAGCTGGCTGACAAATTTAAATTTTGAGGTATGTTCTTGATTTTTTAAAAAAATTTGGGTCTATATCTTCTTCCTGTAGAAATAGTGTATTTTTTTGTTTGTTTTGCCTGGTGGCAATATATGTGACTATGTGGACACCTTTCTCACCCAGGGGATATTTTAAAATGTGTGGGCTCTAACTCTGGGAATTAGGACCATGGTGAGCATGGTAGCAGCTCCCTCTATGGGGATGCTAGCAAATGTGCATTAGAACATAATTTTGTCTTGTTCACATTTTTTTCAAACACCTCATAGGAAGGTATTTCTGTGGATTGATCCAAAAGGAAGACACATTATTTAGTAGAAAGTGTTCAATTGTTAATATCATTCATCCTTATTTTGTCACTTCTAGCTGTATTTTTTTCTGAACATTATTGCTTCATATAAGTACTTCTTAAAGATTCGTTTTAGTATCTCTTTTCTGGAGGGTGGTTGTGTTTAGGACACCCTGATGTTGCTGTCCCACTCTAAATGTTAGTCTTGTTTTTAGCTAGCTGTTGCTAAGTAAATGGACGTTACCTCTTAATTGCCTTGAATCATTCTTATCTACCTATCTGTATACAGTGCCTTTCAAGCTTCTTTTAGACAAATAACAGACACATTTTCCTATTATAAGGGAGTTTTTATTTCTTCAGTATAGAATCTGTGAGGGAGTCAGGGACTTTCTGAAAACACACATCAGATCCTCTTCCTACCTTCCTTTGGGGTGTGTGTGTGCACGCGCGTGTGTGTGTGCACGCGCGTGTGTGCGCAAGCGTGTGTGTGCGTGCGCACTTGAAGGGAAGTGTGCTCTGGTAATGATTGTCATTAAAGGAGAAGTGTCACATTGATGGATGGGCTTTGGAATTTCTTATGATACTGTCTTTAGCTGGCAAGATACTTGACGCATCCTCCACCTGACATGTACCAGTTCAAAGAACATAAATTCTTTCTCAGCCTACATCTGAAATGGGAATTTTTTGGAAGGTTGGTTGATTTTGTAATTTGCCAGTAGGTTACTGTTCCCCCCAGTTCCACAGCTTTGGTTATCTAAAAGGATTTCGAGGTTCCTGTGTGTGGCTGGACTTAGCTCTTTCCTGGTGACTGAGAGGAACTCATGAGAAGCAGGACCATGGTGTATTCAGGACATCAGTCCTCTTGCCGAGGTGGGGTGGAAATGGTGCTCTTCACAAGGGTAGGCAAATGCATTCGAGTCCTGATTTGGGGCTGTGTCAGAATCCTGCAGATCACTCCTGATGGGCCTGGAAGTGATCATGCTGGGCCCATCTCCTTCCCCCGTGTGGGATGGGCTCTGTAGGTGCCCCCAGGATGGGTCTGACGTGGATGGGGCTGCCCACAAGAGATGAGGCGGTGGGCCCTGGTGCCCCCAACCAAAGTCCGTGTACTTCCAGGAGCTCTGGGGGCTGAGATGAGCCAGCACAGCCATCTAGCCGCAGGGATTATGTCAGAGCCTGTGGCTGCTGAGCTAGATAAGGATCAGGATATTTTGTAGACGTTTCTCTCTAAACCATGAAGTATGAATGAATGGCTGCACTCGGCATTCCCGTGGGCCTGTCAACGAGTGGTGAGTGAGGAGAAATGGGCTAAGGGTGGCGTGGGGATGGGAGCACTTCCACGTCCACAGCCATCCCCTCGTGACGGCTGTTGGCGTGTGTGGGTCAGCACGTGCAGACGAGACACAGGCCATTGGGTTGCCTTCATTGCCTTCCCTCTCCACGGAGGATGAGTTGGCAGCATCTGACAGACCACAGCTAGCCTCCCTTTCCTCCAGGCCTTGTTCCACAGTTCAGTGTTCAAGTGTATCCCTAAGATGGCCATGTCTGCTTTTCAAATGACATGTGACCTGTTGTTCCCCATGCTTTCAGTAAAATAAATTTCAGTTAATCTCATTGCAGTATTTGCAGGATTTTGTAATTATTCACCTTATTTTGCATATCTTAAGCAATAATCCAATGTGAAAATGTAGTCCACACTAATAATTAAAGGGCTTTAGCTTAGTAGCCTGGGATATTGGGGGAAGGAGTAGAGATAGAGTCTAGATTATAACCTAATTTTTCTACAACGAGGGCAAATATATTCTTCAGATTTTATAAATTGCCAGTTCCAAACACCAGACTCTGAAACTCTGAATAGTGACACAATGACCCAAGTACCACAGATGCTTGTCTTGTTACTTGTTGGATTAAAAACTGTCCATTGTCTGTAATCACACTAATGGTCCATTGTTGAATACTGGGGGCAGAAATCTGGGGAGGAAATGGGAGGCTGTTTTGGAAAATAATGAATTCAAATTACCTGCTGTCAACAGAAGGGGAATTACTATGCCTTGAGCTAGTGTACATGGCTGCACTGCTTTAGGATGGATGTTAGTGTTTTAAATATTCAGTATCTTTATTTGCTTAATACAGTATATTACAGTACATTTTCTAAAGTGTTGGTCTTTCATTGCCATGAGCCTTGCGAAGCCTGACAGGATATTTTCCCATTTTTCCAGTTAGAGAAGTAGAGGAAGTTGTCGTGTAGTTGTCATGTGTTCAGTCCACTTAAGGGCGGTGGGGAAGCGTATGACGCGGAGCTGTGGAGGCTGATCCTCGAACGAGGAGGTGAGAGAGGCACAGGTGAGCGCAAAGTCCTGGTGCATGTCCCCTTTCTTCTCCTAGCTTGGTGTAGTTCCCCCAGGTGACCCCGAGGGGCAGAACGGCCAGTCCCCCTCTATCCAGCAGGAGTTTCACTACTCCACATTGTGTGGATTTCTGCTAACTTCTTATTTTGAAATAATTTCAGATTTACTAAATGCTGCAAGAATGGGACAACGAGCCTTGTATCTCCCACCTCAGGTTCCCCAGTGTTAACATTTTGCCACGTTGCTTTAACCCTCTCTCTCTTAATGCACATGTGCGTGTTATTTTATGAACTATTTGAGAACAAATTCCAGTTTTGATACCCCTTTGCTTCCTCTCAAATACTTCAGTGTGTATTTCCTGAGAATAAGAAAATTCTCTTACAGAACTACAGTGTAATTATCAAAATCAGGAAATTAGTGTTATGGTATTGTTATCTGATCTATGGACCTTAATTCAGACTTTACCAATTGTCTCAACAGTGTACTTTTTAGACAACCCCCCCCCCCCAAAAGGCTTTTTCTGGTCCAACATCTGGTCTAGGATTGCATGTTGAATTTAGGTGTTGTCTCTGACTCCATTAATTTGGAACCATTTCTCAGTTTTTGTCTTTTACGACAGTGACATTTTTGAAGGGTCAGAGCAGTTGTGATTTTGTAGACTGTCCCTGAATTTGATTGGTCCGATGTTTCCATGTGATGGGATTCGAGTTGTGCATTTCTGGCAGGAATACTCCAGAGGTGGGGTTCGTATGCCTCCGTCAGCACATTGGGAGGCACATGATGTCCATTCGCCCTGTGACTGGAGGGCAAACTTTGATCACAGGCGTGTCTTCCACTGTAAAGTTAGTACTTTTCCATTTGTAATGGAAGGAAAGAGTTTATGAAGGAGGAAGAGCTTTCCGCTCTCCCCGTATGTTTGTTTAGTGTACTAACATGATTCATGGGTCTTGTTGTATTCAGTGGGTTACTCTCAATATTTATTTTGATGCTCAAATGTTCAGATTTGGCCTGTGGCAGCCTTCTGGTGCCCTGGTAGCCCAGGCACATGTACAACATGTTGTGGGACAAAGCCCAGGGGTCATGGAGGTCATAGAGCTCTTCAGAGACACTTGTTGCTGAATGAACTATGCCCACACGGTGTACTGACCTTACAGCTCCTGGTATCCAGCTCTGCTGTATGTGACACAGTTGTGAGACTCAAGAGGAAGGGCTGTCGGTGAAGCTCAGGTAAGACGGGGATGTTAGTGCACCTGGAGCAAAGGGAAGTTCTCAGAGAAGTGACATCTTTGTTTTGGAATTTATGAAGAAGGTAAGCAGCTCGCATTTGCTGGTGGTGCAGTGTTTGTATGTCTGCAGTCTGCTCCTTGAAGCCATATGGGTGGGTGCATCAACACAAGACAGCCAGGTTTCTTACTGTTAGTTACTAGCCTTCGCCAGTTTCTCCCATCACTCAGAAACTACATGAGTACATGTGTCTGTCCATCTGCTGGAGGTAGTGTCTGCAAGTGCAGGTTGCGGCCCTCTGCAGATGTGGAGCACTGGTTCTGCAGGGATCGTGTCCACTTGGGTGGGATCTTGGGCTGGGGCTGCAGGCCAAGGCTGTGGAGAGGGTGCTAGGGCCTTCAAATCATAAAAACACTTTCTCTTGGAGTAACTGGACCTGTTCTGCAACCAGCATCATCCTTCTCCCACCCCAGTACCAAAGCTGAGATCATTTTTACCCTCTGTGGCTTCTTAAGTGCTTTGCAGTCACTCCGT